ATTGTTGGATTGTTTATCATCTCTGAGGAACATGGTGTACTCTGATATCTATTGAAAGAATGATCATCAAAGAGCATTTAGTTGTTTTTTTTTTTTTGAGCATTTAGTTTTTTAAAGTTCTTGATCAGGCCGGGCGTGGTGGCTCACGCCTGTAATCCTAGCACTCTGGGAGGCCGAGGCGGGCAGATCGCTCGAGGTCAGGAGTTCGAAACCAGCCTGAGCAAGAGCGAGACCCCATCTCTACTATAAACTTTGTCCCAAGCTTGAGATAGGACCTTAGTCTTGGTTGTAAATCAGTTATGATTTCACATTACTATTCACAGGTGGAAAAGAGACAGCAGTGGAAATAAAATCGCCCATCCTGTTTCTGGGAAACACATCCTACAGTTTGTTGCAATAAAAAGGAAAGACTGCGGAGAGTGGGCCATCCCAGGGGTGAGCGTTAAAATGAAATCAAATTCATGTTTAAGTGCTTGTTAGTGGTTTTACTTACGGCAACAAGGTTATTGTTTGTGCATATTTTCTACCCCACGTGTTTCTCCCCAGGTCAAGTAGTCATTCTTTTGTCTTTCATCCCTGTAACAAAGTGTCATTGTCGGTGACAGTTTAGGATAATCCAAGGCCATTAGAATCTAATTCTGGTACCTTCGGGAAAGAACATAGGCTTTGGAGTTAGATCTAGTCTTGTGTTCTGGCCTTTCCTCTGACAATTGGGTTATAAGGAGTTCAGGCCCTCATCTTTAAAACAAAGGTATCTACCTCCCAGGGTTACTAGAGATAGCATATAAACACATGGTATACAGGCCAGGCGCCGTGGCTCACGCCTGTAATCCTAGCACTCTGGGAGGCCGAGGCAGGTGGATCGTTTGAGTTCAGGAGTTTGAGACCAGCCTGAGCAAGAGTGAGACCTCATCTCTACTAAAAATAGGAAGAAATTAATTGGCCAACTAAAAATATATAGAAAAAATTAGCCGGGCATGGTGGCGCATGCCTGTAGTCCCAGCTACTTGGGAGGCTGAGGCAGGAGGATCGCTTGAGCCAAGGAGATTGAGGTTGCTGTGAGCGAGGCTGACGCCATGGCACTTTAGCCTGGGCAACAGAGTGAGACTCTTGTCTCAAAAAAAAAAAAAAAGGAAAGGCTTTTCTGAGGAGGTCACATTTGTTTTTGGCTAATTTCTATGAGCCAGATAGTCAGACTTCACTTATGCTGAGAGCAATGACATAATAATGATTTCATCTTAGGATCTTCTATTTTTATCGTTATTTGAAATTCTTATCAAGCAGGGAACTGTTGTCATTGATATTTTGAGAGTTACTCATCTCATGAGTGTATTTTGAGTATCTTTTGTCAGCTAATATTTCAGACATTGGGGATACAACAGAGCAACCAAAACAAACATCCCTGTCTTTTGGTGCTCACAGTCTAGTAGGAGAGACAGATATTATAAGATAAATAAAATAAATTCAACATATTGTATGTTAGAAGGGGATAAACATTAAGAAAGAAACTTAAGGAAGATAGAGGACTAAGAAGTGTTTGAGAGTTCACAGTTTTAGACAGGGAAGTTAGAGACAGCCTCCCTGAGAAGATGACATTTGACTAAAGACCTGAGGGACGTAAATGAGTGAGCCATGTGGATATCCGGGGAAAAGCATCTTGGATAGATTTCAAAGCAGGTGCAAAGGCCCTGTGGTAGGAGGATGTCTGGCATGTCCTGGGGAATATGGAGGAAGTTGTGTGGCTGGAACAGAAAGAACAATGAGGGAAGAGTCAATTTGCTGTATTCTTTCTTGCCTCCAGGCCGCCTTTCCTTAGTTTGAGTTTGGAACGTGCCAGGAAATTAATTTGATTGGCCCAATTTGCCATAGGCTATAGCCTTGGACCATTTCCATAGTGAAATATATAAGGTATCCTATATTGGCTGCTTCCATTAGAAACAGATGGTTTAGAGAAGAGCATGTCACAGAGGAATGGGGACATCACACAGGAATGTTATGGGCAGATAAAATAATAAATGTCCACTGTACCATTCAATAAATATTTGTTGAAGATTCAAGGCTTATTACCTTTTTTTTTTTTTTTTTTTAAATATAACTCTTAGGGGATGGTGGATCCAGGAGAAAAGATCAGTGCCACATTGAAAAGAGAATTTGGTGAGGAAGCTCTCAACTCCTTACAGAAATCCAGTGCTGAGAAGAGAGAACTAGAGGAACAGCTGCACAAACTCTTCAGCCAAGAACATCTAGTGGTAAGAAATGGTCATTCCTAGGCGGGATTTAGTCCTGTGGATTAATGAAAGTGAATCACTCTGGGTGGCCGAGACGGGAGGATTGCTCAAGGTCAGGAGTTCGAGACCAGCCTCAGCAAGAGCGAGACCCCACCTCTACTATAAATAGAAAGAAATTAATTGGCCAACTAAAAATATATTAAAAAAAATGAGCCGGGCGTGGTGGCGCATGCCTGTAGTCCCAGCTACTCGGGAGGCTGAGGCAGGAGGATCGCTTGAGCCCAGGAGTTGGAGGCTGCTGTGAGCTAGGCTGATGCCACGGCACTCTAGCCTGGGCAACAGAGTGAGACTCTATCTCAATAAAAAAAAAAAGAAAAAGATAGAAAGTGAGTCAAAGCTTGCCTATAAATCTAGTAGGTCCTTCTCTTAAGAAAATGGAATACAAGTTTATTTGAAATATATTCATAAAAATAAATTATAGATCTTTACTGTAAATAGATTTCTATTTAAAGTTTTTTTTTTTTTTTTGAGACAGAGTCTCACTTTTTGTTGCCCTGGCTAGAGTGAGTGCCGTGGTGTCAGCCTAGCTCACAGCAACCTCAAACTCCTGGGCTCAAATGATCCTCCTGTCTCAGCCTCCCAAGTAGCTGGGACTACAGGCATGCGCCACCATGCCCGGCTAATTTTTTTGTATATATATTTTTAGTTGGTCAATTAATTTCTTTCTATTTTTAGTAGAGATGGGGTCTCGCTCAGGATGGTTTCGAACTCCCAACCTTGAGCAATCCGCCCGCCTCGGCCTCCCAGAGTGCTAGGATTACAGGCGTGAGCCACTGCGCCCGACCTTCTATTTAAAGTTTTATAGCTCAACTTTAGGTCAATTATATCATTTATTATATTAATAGTACTTTTTTCCTCTTACTTTTTCTTTACACTATGTGAGCTAATGTAGCAGACTATTTTCCTACATGCTGAGTACCCATTTAACAGAAAACCTTTTTCTAAAGGTTATAAATGAATTCACTCTTGAATTCATGAATTCACTCTTTCTGAAAGGACATTTACATTTTAAATGATGTTATACAGAGTGTTATCTAGTTGATGACCATTTAAGTCTCATGTCTGTTTTGTCTGTATAATATCCATGATTTTTAATAAATAACCTTGTAAGATATATGTGCACTAATAATAAGGAAAATGATAGTTTTCATTTTTGCTGGCTTTTGTTTGGATCACTTCGTTCTCTTTTCAGAATTGGGATTTCTTAATTCATTATCTATATAGTCCAGACTTGGGGGGATCACATTTGTGTTAGCTGACTAGATTCAAATCTTTTCATGTATTGATAGCTTAGATATATTAATCTTTAGTTTTATTTACAAATCTCCTTTGTTTAACTAGAAGAATCTACTTTTATATTTATGAGACTATGATCACAGGAATTATTAATACACAATTTATGGACCCTTTTAAAAAATCGTATGTCCCAAATCTGACTATTCCAAATTCTGAAATTAGAGTCCGAGTTGTTGAGGGTTTTATGAATTTTGAAACTGCCTCAAAAGAGAATATTAATCCCTGGGAAATCTGAGACAAGTGTGTGGAATGCTACTTTGAAGGTTCTATGTATTTATATTTCTTTTAAAAAATTTTTTTGCTAAAAAACACAATAGAAAATTTCCCATCTGAACCATTAAGTGGCCAGCTCAGTAGTGTTCAAGTATGTTTGTGTCGTTGTGCAACAAGATATTTGCATTTCTGAACCTAGTGAAGGGAATGAGTATGGTTCTGCCCCACTCATTCCTGTTCCTGGGGCAGGGGTGCCCCAGTGAAGGGAAGAAGGACCCCCGAACTCGCCAGGTGGGTTCTTGGCTTCACAGGGGAAAGAATTGGAGAGCGAGCCAACTAGCGACAGAGAGCTTATTGAGAGAGACAGACAGTCTGGGATCGGCCAAGATGGCTGCACTTGCGCTCTCTCAGCCGTCCTTTTCTGCCTTATCCTTGCATTATTACACCTTGCGCTTTAAAAAAAAAAAAATCTGTCTCCTTTCAAAAATAGATTTATAAAGGATACGTTGATGACCCTCGAAACACTGACAATGCATGGATGGAGACAGAGGCTGTGAATTACCATGATGAGACAGGTAATTTTATATTCATGTTTATTAAACTGACTGAGGATCAATTTAAGCCCCTAGCCGACTAGGGTATGATGAAATCTGGGCTGTTGTAGCATCTTAAGCCAATTAGCTATTGATTTTTGGATTGTATTTATATGAAAGCAAAATTATTGGTATTATTAATCAAAGAATACATAGAAGAAAGCTTCAAAAATGTTATCACCAGCGACTAAATTTCTTTAATTCATTGGTAACATATGAAATTAAGGTTGAATCTATGGGCTAAAATTATGTGCTTTGAAGTTGTGAGATTATTTGTATAATTCCGTCTTTGTAAAATAAAAACAAGCAACTGGAGATTTGGGTAGGAAGTATGGCAATGAAAAAGGAAATGAGATTTATATCTTACTGTTTGAAATATTTTTACGGTAAGCATGGATTATCCAAACAGAAAAACAATACCAAAATAATTCCAAGAACTGCAAAAATTTTAAATGAGTGCTTTTTCTGGTCCACAGGTTTTAAAATTTTATGGGGAGAGTCAAATCTGTTATTACAAAAAGAGAAGGGAAATCTGCTATATTAAAAATTAATTTGATCTTAATTTACACATTGAATGGCTTCCCTTGAGACATCTTATTGTTAAATTGGATGACCTTTTAAGCATTTGCTTTCATCTGCAGCTTAATAAAATGAGGGAGCCATGTCAGAAAACTGAGTGCTTTTTTTCTAAGCTGTATAACCTTGTGCAAATCACTTTTCCTCTTGGACTCAGTTTTTTTTCACTTAGAAAATGAGCTAAAACTAGAAGATCTGTGACTCCTGTCTTCCGTGCTGCTCCTTGTTGAACTTGGGGAATACCCCCAGAGCCATTTCCATCCCTTCTGGGTAACTACTCTAACCCAGATAGTAGAAGAGTTCATCTTTCTGGTATCGAGAACGTAGGAGAAATACACAATTGTAATTTAGGAGCAGGTCTGTACAACTTAAGTTCTAATAAATTTGTTAACTGCTTATTTTTGAAGTTAAAAACAATGACCGATCCTCCAGTGGTTGATTATATAGTTCATGGGTTGTTCACTTCGCCCTATCTTTTTCTCTCTTTAAACTTAAAAACAGTTCTGTTCTGATAATTCCAAGGTCTCTGCTATATCTGAGTTTGGTTCTAATGGTCGCTCTGTCTCTTCAGACTGGGTTTTTTGCCTTTTAGCTTGCCTCATAGTGTTTCTTCTGAGATCTGGCCATGATGTATTCAGTAAAACTGCAGTCCCCAAGCCCTGAGCCCTTGCTGGTACCAGCTGGTGGCCTGTTAGGACTTTATTTCCTTAGGATAAAATGAAAGTGGAATTGTTGGATTGTTTATCATCTCTGAGGAACATGGTGTACTCTGATATCTATTGAAAGAATGATCATCAAAGAGCATTTAGTTGTTTTTTTTTTTTTGAGCATTTAGTTTTTTAAAGTTCTTGATCAGGCCGGGCGTGGTGGCTCACGCCTGTAATCCTAGCACTCTGGGAGGCCGAGGCGGGCAGATCGCTCGAGGTCAGGAGTTCGAAACCAGCCTGAGCAAGAGCGAGACCCCGTCTCTACTATAAATAGAAAGAAATCAATTGGCCAACTAATGTATATAGAAAAAATTAGCTGGGCATGGTGGCGCATGCCTGTAGTCCCAGCTACTTGGGAGACTGAGGCAGGAGGATCGCTTGAGCCCAGGAGTCGGAGGTTGCTGTGAGCGAGGCTGAAGCCACAGCACTCACTCTAGCCTGGGCAACAAAGTGAGACTCTGTCTCAAAAAAATAAATAAATAAAAATAAATAAATAAAAGCTCTTGATCAACACTGTCAAATTGTCCTACAGAAATAAGCTATTTCCAGCGGTGATTGAGAGCACTTACTTTTATTTTATTTTTTTATTTATTAAGGATAACTTAATTATTAAGGATAACTTAATTATTAAGGATAACTTAATTATTAAGTTATTACTAAGTTAATTATTAAGGATACTTTTACTACTTTTAAGTACAGGAGACAACAGTGTGTACATTTAGCCCAGTTTGGTGGCAAGTTCTTTAGCCTTTGTCTCTTCCAGCTTGGCAATGCGAGCCCCAGATTTGGGACCCAGGACGTTGCCTCCCCGGTGACGACGGATCTCATCGCATCTGTCCTTGCAGTAGGTCCTGATGGCCCCCACCAGCTTAGCCAGAGCTCCTTTGTCCTCCGAGTTCACCTGCGTGAAGGTGACCCTGGTGCAGGTCCTCCCGAGGGCTGGACGCCCCAGCCCGGCCTTCCCCTCGACAGTGCAGTAGGGGACCCCAACTTCCGACACAGCGCAGGCAGGAAGACTGCCAGCTGGCTGGGGTCCCCGTCATGCGCCATCACCACCAGCTGAGCCTTCCTGTCCTCCACCAAGGTGGTGATGGCGTTGGCCCCTGCCCGAGGGACAGGCGGCCTCTCAGCGGGGACATCCCCTTTGCCGGCAGCCGTCTTCCCAGCCCGGGCCTGCCGTCGCCGCCGCTCCTCTCGCCTGGTCTCCGGGCTGACCCGTGGTCAGTGTGAGCGGCCAAGTGGCTGTTTGGTGGCCCAAGGCCTGGGCGAGCTGTTAGTGGCAGGAGGCACTTTCAGATGCAGCAGGGCCATTTGACAAAGCGGGCGAGGTCCCTGTTGGCCTGGGTGTCCTGTCCAGCGCCAAAGTGCTTCGGCCTCTTCTCGAACAGGGGGTTCGCCACTTTCTTTGCCTCCTGCTGCTTCACCACGGCTGGGGGCCTCAGCCTCCTTCTTGCCTTTGGCCTTCGTTCCCTTCGGCATGCCGGGTGGCTGGAGCAGAAAGAGCACTTACTTTTAATTTTTGACAATTATAAATATTTCTTTCCTTTTTTTGTTTTTTGAGACAGAGTCTCACTCTCTTGCCCGGGCTAGAGTGCTGTGGCGTCAGCCTCGCTCACAGCAACCTCCAACTCCTGGGCTCAAGCGATCCTCCTGCCTCAGCCTCCTCCCGAGTAGCTGGGACTACAGGCATGCGCCACCACGCCTGGCTAATTTTTTCTATATATTTTTAGTTGTCCAGCTAATTTCTTTCTATTTTTTTATTTTTATTTTTTAAAAATTTTCCTAACCACAGACCATGAGATCTTTCTATTTTTTTAGTAGACACAGGGTCTGGCTCTTGCTCAGGCTGGTCTCGAACTCTTGAGCTCAAATGATCCTCCCGCTTCGGCCTCCCAGAGTGCTAGGATTACAGGCGTGAGCCACCGCCCCTGACCATAAATATTTCTTTTATTATTTCTGGTTTAGTGTCCGGCTTAGAAAAGTCCACTTACCTGAAGACTATAAAATGAGTCACCAATAATTTGTTTGTTTTCTTTTTTAAATCTCTAATCCGTCTGGAATTGATTTTGGTATAAGGTTCATACTCCTTTCATACGCTCTCTCTTGTTTAAGGTTGATATTCTTCCTTTTTAAAGAGAAAAGCTTTCTTATTTGTATCTCTACCTAAAATTTAGGAACTTGGCTAAAATCTGGATATTTTAGAATCATCTAGTTTTCAGTGATGCTTTAAGATTATTTTAAGTAAGAATACTTGAAGATACCGAGATATGTTGAAAAATAAACGAATAGGCCGGGCGCAGTGGCTCACGCCTGTAATCCTAGCACTCTGGGAGGCCGAGGCGGGCGGATTGCTCGAGGTCAGGAGTTCGAGACAGCCTGAGCAAGAGCAACATCATGTCTCTACTAAAAAGAAAAAGAAATTAATTGGCCAACTAATATACATAGAAAAAATGAGCCGGGCGTGGTGGCGCATGCCTGTAGTCCCAGCCCTCGGGAGGCTGAGGCAGGAGGATCCTTGAGCCCAGGAGTTGGAGGTTGCTGTGAGCGAGGCTGACGCCACGGCACTCACTCTAGCCTGGGCAACAGAGTGAGATTCTGACTCAAAAAAAAAAAAAGGAAAATAAAATATTTTTTATTTGTATCTCTACCTAAAATTTAGGAACTTGGCTAATAAAGTCTGGATATTTTGGAATCGTATAATTTTCAGCGATGCGTTAAGATTATTTTTATTTTATTTTATTTTTTTTGAGACAGAGTCTCGCTTTGTTGCCCAGGCTAGAGTGAGTGCCATGGCGTCAGCCTCGCTCACAGCAACCTCAAACTCCTGGGCTCAAGCGATCCTCCTGCCTCAGCCTTCTCCCGAGTAGCTGAGACTACAGGCATGCACCACGCCCGGCTATTTTTTTAAATTATTAAGTTGGCCAATGAATTTCTTTCTATTTTTATAGTAGAGACGGGGGGGGGGGGGAGGGGAGTCTCGTCTTGCTCAGGCTGTCTCACATCCTGACCTCGAGCGATCCTCGCCCGGCTCTCCCAGAGCGCAAGGATGACAGGCGTGAGCCACCGCGCCCGGCCTAAGACTATTTGAAGTAAGCATACTTGAGGATGCCGAGGTGTGTTGAAAAAGAAATGACTCAATGCATTTTCTCTTTCTTCGACGCCGGGCTTTCCCTCGGTATCCAGGCGAGATCATGGATAATCTCAGCCTGGAAGCCGGAGACGACGCCGGGAAGGTGAAGTGGGTGGACATCGGCGCGAAGCTCAAGCTCTACGCCAGCCACTCTCAGTTCATCAAACTCGTGGCAGAGAAGCGGGACGCGCACTGGAGCGAGGACTCCGAGGCCGACTGTCGCGGGGTATAGCGCGTGGTCGCCGTGCACACCCCAGGTCCACAAAGGAGCATGCACTGCAGGAGGGCAGCGTGTCGCACTGCTTGTACTTTATACAAAGGGCAAGGCAGGCCACCGTGGGCCTGTCCGCTTCCAGAGCGATTTGCTTTAGAGGGTTTTGCATCAGACATAACATTCAATAAATAATGCTGAAACGGGACACCGGACTCTTCAGCCTTCTGGTCAGAAGGAGTATAAATAGTCGCATTTTGTGTGTGTTCTATCTAAGCATGGCTTACACGCAATGGAAGCAACCGGTGCTTCTTGGAAGAATCATAACCCGAATAAAGACACGTTCTCGATCAGCCGCAGTTTCTGTTCTCCATTGAGTTCTCGCTTGTCAGTTCTCGTTCCCGGCTAATCTCCTGAGGCCTAAGGGACGTTCCTGTCACATCGGGCTCCTTCAAGATGAGCACCGCCGTGGGATGGACGTACAGTTTGATGTCAAGTCTGATTTCTCTTGAAATTATTTGCCATTATGCTTCGTGTGATCTTGTTGGAGCTGATCTCAAAAACGGGAACTTTATGTATTCTTGACTTTAGAGTGATTAGTTTTGTGAGGAAATTTGAGGCACTCTTTCAGTAATAAAGGTTGAGATCGATGAATAAGAGCTCATCTCCTCATTTTCAAAAAATTCTGAATTGAAAAACTATGTCCAGGAAACTAGTAATTAACATCAATATGTTTATTGCACTCCAGTGTAACTCCTGTATGTTATTAGCCAATTAAAAATAGGCTGGGTGAGGTGGCTCACGCCTGGGATCCTAGCACTTTGTGAGGCTGAGGCGGGAGGATCAAGCAAGGGCAGGAGTTCGAAACCAGCCTGAGCAAGAATGAGACCCCGTCTCTACTAAAAATAGAAAGAAATTAATTGACCAACTCAAAAATATATTGAGAAAACTAGCCAGGCATATTGGTGCATGCCTGTAGTCTCAGCTACTCGGGAGGCTGAGGCAGGAGGATGGCTTGAGCCCAGGAGTTTGAGGTTGCTGTGAACTAGGCTGATGCCATAGCACTCTAGCCCACGCAGCAGAGTGAGACTCTGTCTCAAAAAAAAAAAAAGAAAAAATAGGTGTTCAAGAAGGAATTGCAATCAGACAGGAACAGAGCTCTTTCTTAGGAAGGGAATGTTAAAGATTGAAATAGTGGCCGGGCGTGGTGGCTCACACCTGTAATCCTAGCACTCTGGGAGGCTGAGGCGGGAGGATTGCTGGAGGTCAGGAGTTTGAGACCAGCCTTAGCAAGAGTCAGAACCAATCACTACTAAAAATAGAAAGAAATTAATTGGCCAACTAAAAATATATGTAGAAAAAATTAGCCAGGCATGGTGGCGCATGCCTGTAGTCCCAGCTACTCGGGAGGAGGCTGAGGCAGGAGGATCGCTTGAGCCCAGGAGTTGGAGGTTGCTGTGAGCGAGGCTGACGCCACGGCACTCTATCCCGGGCAACAGAGTGAGACTCTGTCTCAAAAAAAAAACAAAAAACCAAAAACACAAAAAAACTTTTTCATGGTAAACATGCATTGAACAGACAGGAGGCTTTTTCTCCCCCTAATATGACAGTGGGTTTTGCTGAGAGACATTAGCATGTTTGATTTCAGCATTACCTCAAACCCCTCTGGAAGAGTTACAGGGCTTATGTATGGTATTAACTTTTAAAAATCCATAAAATCCTTGTCCCGAGGGTATGTAATAAAGGTATTTATACTTGATGAGGATAACCTGTTTGCTGAGTAAGAGGCTGGTGGCCTTCTTCCAGCAGGACTCAGCTTCTGCTGTGACTGGCAGGGAGCGATTGCTTCTTCCTGGCACTGAACAGAACTCTCTGAAATCAAAGCTACTTACAAAAACTTCTAAGGAAGTTCGAGCAATTAATTCCCTGAAAAACTATATTTACTTATGTTTCATAGTTTTGATACATGAATAAAGCTATTAGGCTATGTTAAAGATTTATTTAAAGTGTAACTAAAACACATGGTCTAGTTAGTAAGTTCTTTATTTTATTTTATTTTTTTTGGAATTTTCACTGGAACATTTATAAAGTATGCAAAATGATAAAACTATCAGCATCAACAACAGATACGATAGAGGGAGATCATCTTCTAATTGTAAATATCCAGCACCATCTATAATGGGGAAAAATCAGATTATAAATGTTAGCTGATGACATTCCCAAAGAAACAGCTACTCCTATGTCACTAGGTAATATTCCCTTGATGTTTAATTTTCTTATGTTTTATGTATAAGGAATATTTTTTTTGTTTTAGAAACATTTGGCAAAATAAATAGTAATAATACATACCATTTACTGAATATCTATGTTCTATTACATAATCCTCATTGCAATTTCTATGAAATTAGGTGGTAGTATTCCCATTTCACAGATAAAGAAACTGATATTTAGAAAGATGGCCCAAGGTTTTAGTAAGCAAGGGACAGAGCTGGGATTTGAATCTTGGTCTGCCTCATTCTAAAACCTGTCTATTGTATTCCCTACTGGGGTTATGAATCTTCCATGATTTATTATTTCAGTATGCAGTTTGGAAGATTGTACATTACATAAATAGTACTCATGTTATTCATAGTAATGCAGCTATGATTTGTGACTTGAAATTCAAGGACCATACCTGATTTGGCTAAGGCATTGTTGAAAGTATTTACATAATTTTCACCCAATGACAGTTTATTTGGTAATATCTTAAAATAAGGACAAATGGTCACAATTAATATTTGTTTTGCCAACAGGTATTCTTGAGCTTCTGAAAGTGTTTCAAACTCAAATAGAAGATATGCTAAACTTACTTAAGACGTAGCTATTTTAGGAGCTAAATATTTGGTAGCTAAAGAGAAACTTGAAAATTCTAAGCACTTTGAGAGGCTACTCTTGTTTTAACAGTATGTTTGCTTGTGCTTAGGACTTCTGGTGGTTGGTATAATTTTCTAAAATTTCTGCAGTTTTATTAAATAAACTGACATTAAAATACATTCTTCGGAGAAAGCGTTTTGAATTAAGTTGGTCTTTTTATACCTACGTTCATCATATTATTGCTCTACCAACGTGAGCACAATCTGAGGTTATTAAACACTTTTTTTTTATTATTTCAGCATATTATAGGGGTATAAATGTTAAGATTACGTATATTGCCTATGCCCCCCCTCCCCCTATTAAATGCTTTTGATAAAAATATTCAAAAATGTATAATACTGCTTGAAAGATATTTGGAGATTTTACTAACCGTATATAACTTCTGGCTTAGTGGTGAGAATTATTTCTGTCAAAATAGATAACACAGGTTATAGTTACTATATGAAGATATTTTCACCATAATTCCTTCTTCACGAACTTCCCCTGTGTCTCCCATGCAATGGTTATTTTATTGGTAATGTGTTAATATTGGTATAATTGTGTGTTCTGGGGAAAGAAAATTAGGTGGTTCTGTTATACTTATCCACATGTTCTGGTTAACAGAAAAGAAAAAAAAAAAAATGCTAAGTTGAATCCTTAACTGTATGTCTGCAACATAGAGCTTAATTTCTCCCACTTGGCCTCACTTGGCTTGATAAAAGTATTTGAAGTGATAAAAAGTACGAAATCAGGCTGGGTGTAGTGGCTCACACCTGTAATCCTAGCACTCTGGGAGGCTGAGGTGGGAGGATCGCTTGAGGTCAGGAGTTCAAGACCAGCGTGAGCAAGAGCGAGACCCTGTCTCTACTATAAATAGAAAGAAATTAATTGGCCAACTAATATATAGAAAAAATTAGCCAGGCATGGTGGCGCATGCCTGTAGTCCCAGCTACTCGGGAGGCTGAGGCAGGAGGATCGCTTGAGCCCAGGAGTTGGAGGTTGCTGTGAGCGAGGCTGACACCACGGCACTCACTCTAGCCTGGGCAACAGAGTGAGACTCTGTCTCAAAAAAAAAAAAAAGTACTAAATCAGCCCTTCAAGGCAGTAAAACTTGTTAGGAGAGAAACTGTTGGTAAAATCCAGTTTCTGTTTATTCATCAGCTACTTTCCAGGTAAATTAAAATAAATACTATATATATATTAATTGATGTATTATTATTTTAAAAAGGGCCAGGTTCAGTGCTTGCATCTGTAGTGCCAGCTACTGGGGAGGTTGAGGTGGGAGGATTGCTTGAGGCCAGGAGTTCAAGGCTGTAGTGTGCTGTCATTGGAGTCTGTGAACAGCCACTGCACCCAGCCTGGACAAAATGGTGAGACATCTTCTCTTTAAAAATTAAAACAGCCCGGCGAGGTGGCTCACGCCTGTAATCCTAGCACTCTAGGAGGCCGAGGTGGGAGGATCGCTCAAGGTCAGGAGTTGGAACCAGCCTGGAGCAAGACGAGACCCCGTCTCTACTAAAAATAGAAAGAAATTAATTGGCCAACTAAAATATATATATAGAAAAATTAGCCAGGCATGGTGGCGCATGCCTGTAGTCCCAGCTACTCGGGAGGCTGAGGCAGGAGGATCAGTTAGCCCAGGAGTTGGAGCTGCTGTGACGAGGCTGATGCCACAACACTCTAGCCTGGGCAACAGAGCGAGACTCAGCTCAAAAAAAGAAAAAAGAAAAAAAAATTAAAACAGCAACACAAAGGAATATACCTTGTTGGTATCTTCTGTTTTTTTTTTTTGTATATATTTTTTATTTTGTTTTTTTAATTTTGTATTTTTTGGAAGCATGATCATGAGGATTGGTATTATATTTTTTTTTTATTTTTTTTCTTTTCTGAAACTATGGTTCAATATTGGTATATTTTAAATGAAAGCAATCTTGAATGAAAGTCAAAGTAGAAGCCTCAAGGTTTGTAGCCTTGCACCAACAGCTAATAGCCTTTTAGATAGGGAGATGGTTGTTGTTTTGGTGTCGCTTTTCGATCTTTTACAGTAAGCTTTCTCATTTACTATGAACCATTAAGACAAAAAAAAGCCTGTGGCAAACTTTTAAAAATTTCTTAAGCTAATATTGCATATATTTCTGTAAACTTAAATTTTGTGAAATACCATGGGCATTAGAAAAGAATCTTTTCAGGACTGCAAAAATTTTGATCTAAAGATCTTGGAGGAAATTGAGTTTATAACCCATGAATTCTAATTTGGGTAGATCAGCTGGGTTTGATTCTGCATATGTTTTTGTAGTAGGAAGAGTTATTCATCAGTCCGTTGCCAAAAAACAATTTAAAAAAAAAAAGAGTATTCTTACTTTCCTGACAATGAATGTCACTTACGTTATCAATATAATCATAAATCTTACCCAATGATGCCTAGAATAAAAAAAATTAGTAAGACATTTTTTTAGTCCATTAACTAAATTTGTAGTTTATAGTAGGCATAAAAATAAATGACTTACTCCAGTTGGTTCATAATAGCAGTGACTAACTGTGAAAGGAGAAAAATCAATAATCAGTGCAATTAATCGGTTTTTTTATCTTATATTTATCTTAGCAATATGTAAGTTACAATATTTTCTATATGAAGATCGTTTTCTATTGAAAAATTCAGTTTTATTGCTTAGTATTTTATTTACATGATGTAAGATTTAAAAATAAAGACGTCATATCTCAGATTTAAACTATTTTAATTCTCAGAAATATTTTCTTCTAACTGC